AAATAGGGTGAATACATCTCATTACACTGATTTACTGGTAGTCTCGAAACCCTACTCTCATACGAATATTTGATTTATGTTTTATATATTAATTTATACTCAACATTGTGTGCCTGTTTTCTATTACTGTTAACAAGGCATTTTGCAGAGCAATATCTGAGCTATCTGCCATTAATCAACAAGGACTTAACCATAAAACTGTTTTTCTAGATTATTTTATCTTGAGTATGAATAGGATTAGTGTCACTTAATTATGGAATTGGTCATATGCACAACCTGGTGTCAACTATTTAGGAATTATGATCTGGCAAAATCCTTGTGCCCAAAATCTATTTTCGAATAACAATGACTTGTAATTATCACGAAATATTTCTTGCAATAACCAAAAGTTGATTAATTGCTCCAGCCTACCATTTATGTATTTGATTCAACTTATGCCTTTTTTAGCAAGGATTACTTGATGCTTAATGTAATTTTTTCTCTATTAGTTTATATCTCTGACAATAATGTTATGCTCTTATATTAAGAAAGCTTTACCTTACCATAACCTGTCTGTTTTATTTTTGACATCTTTCCATTCTCATAAGTTTTATTCTTGAGATATTCACTTTAGTTTGTATGTGCCCTTTTTCCGAGTAAGTCCTGATAATTGGGTTTCTTAACTTGAAACACTTGTAAAGCTCGACTCGGCCATTCAATGTTCAGTGGCATTAATTAATTTAAGCTCATGTCTAGCTTACTTCCTTATGACGTTCTTGAAACAGCCAAAGCCTCCACAATTCTTACGCCCTTCAAAATAAATTAAATGGAATAAAACATTCCCCCATTTGGAAGTGGTTTGATTAGTCAGTTTAATCAGAAGTACATTTTGTTAAATTAATTTTTAGGTTATCATTAAACTATCACATGTTTTTCAAAACTTTTTTTTAACTCTCTAAGCAATATTCCTACTTATTTAGTTAGGTGACTATAAATTGGAGCCCTGATTTCTTTACAATAATGTTGGAAAAATAAAGTTAAACTATTGTTCGATTTTCGGCAACCCCAAAATACAGTTAACAAAACTAACGCCATCTTGGCCAATGGTCATCCTCTCTTAGGCTAAATATCACCTAACACACAGTCTTAAGTGAAAAGAAATTCTTCTTCGTATTCTTTAAGTTTAATAATTTGCTAGTTTTACTTCTGAATGAACCCAATAATGCGACCCTTTTCTGACAAGTGTTTGCTTGGGAAATTTATTCCCCCCCTATGAATTGACATGTGTTCATAATATCCTGAAACAATTTGACAGTTATCAATTTCCACCTAGTTTCGATACCCTTGAGCAAAAATACAAGCAATTTAACCAACGCCAATATATTCTTGTCCTATGGGGAAGAAAGGTGTTAAAGGGGCATCCTGCTGGCGATTCATTAAAAGATTTTTATATGAATTAACTTGGTGTGAATGAGCTGTTCATGGTAGCTAGATAAAATGTGGCCTATAAATAAGCCGAAGTAAGAGCCCAAGATGCATAACAAGAATTTTCCAAGCATACATTTTTTAGTAAACGCTAATTAAGATTTATTAAATAGGGAATAGTCAATCGCTAAAATATCTATCCGGAATCCTCCTCCTTTATCATAATTGTTACTACAATTGTGTTCATTGATAGCAGGGTCCGATGGTTAATATATACAGGCCTCAATTTGAGGCCTGCAAAAAAAATATTAATTCCTTTAGGGGCCTGATTTTCTCATCTTAACATGGACTTTGCTTCAAAATGCAATCAGCCTATTTTCGCCTAAAAAATACTGCTATTACTGCCATCCTTAATACTGATACTATTATTATATCTAATCTATTTATGTATATATATAGATAAAGATATTTTGATTAAATATAATAGTAATATAGAATATATATATATATATATATATATATATATATGGGGGTTGGACTGATAGATTTACCTTAAACTCAGATAAAGCTAGCCACGAATTTCATGCTTCCAAATAGATTTAATCTGCTGAGAAAATTAGTAGGCTTAGAGTTGGCGCCAGAGTATAGTGATCGAGTAGTTCTACATCAAGAATCGATGTAAAGCTGGGCGTAGCTAAGTGCTCATTTACGAAATTTAGACACCCCATATTGTGATTTTCATCCAGCCAAAAAAAAACAAATTATCAAAATAGCGTTAAAATATATAGAATTTTTTTATATTGTCACGTATTATAGTTTATATCAGCGATCTTGTTACTTTAAAAATGCCTAATACAAAGTTAGTGCCTGAGCTAAATTTCCATAATTTTCTTTAGCTAAATGTTGTCTGTAAAGTTAAACACTGCAATGGCGGCAAATCTCTTGCTTTTTTTAAAATAACTTTTTTGGGTTTCGTATGTAAGTAGAATTTCGAGACTACCGTTATGCTTATAATTCATTCATCCTCATAGCAAACAGAGTGTTCAGCATACTAAGCCGGACCTTTAGCAGAATCCTCTAAACTGGCCGGAGATTGTGATTTTAAGCTCTAAACCAGTGCGCTTGGTCATCCAGTTTCTACAAACATCCGTCAAGCGGGAACCCGGTCCAAGATGCCACGTGAATTGATGTCGTCTAAGCTACTCTCTTTTTATTGCTTTAAGGTGGTGGGGACCACTTGTCATTTTTGATGGGACAGACACTTGTCGCGGTAGTTTCTTCTCTCCCCTTTTGGACAGAAGCAGTCGGAACTTGATAGATTGCCATCTGGAGTTGTTCAAACCGCTTTATCAGCAGGAACAGGGAAGAAAGGGAACCGAAAGTGTACCGTTGACTCCAACTGGTGTTGCTAGTGGTCCAGTCATAACAGCACTTGAATCTGGTCATAAAGAAGGACTATCGTCCAGTCCTGAGAGTGGGCACAATACGATTCGGTACAGCTCACCGGAGAATATAGGCATCAGAAGCATGGCATCTTGGCGGGAGGGAAAATGCAAGTCTATACCTGCTGGAAGTTGTTCCCGCGGCACATTCTCATGTTTTCCTCTTATTTTCTACCGGTCAACTAACGTCCTTTAAAATAGCATCCCTTTCACTTTTACTGCACGGCTGAGTAGCTACGTGAGTTCCTTCTTTGCATGAGCCTGACAACGAAAAGTTGGAATGAAATTAATTCGGTGTCTTCACGAGCTAGTCGTGCTCAGACCTCAGGGATCGTCATGTTGTCAATCATTTTCCGCCATAGCTCCACCTGATCGATTATCTTATTGTCAATTGCAATGCAATGGATTAGCATCATGTGATATTTATTATCTCACACACACGCCCGCATAAGTACCGAGCCTTTAAACTTTGTCTTCGGCCCACGTAAACTCATTAGTTTCATAAAGTTAAGGGCTATTTTTTCATTAGACTTCAGTTGAAAAAGGGCTAACAAAAGAGAGGCTAAGACTACAAGACTGAGCTTGAAATCAAGCATAGTCAAAGGTTTTGCCGAAATTTGTCAAGACTGCCTTCGACAACGATCCCAACCTATTGTTAATGAGAATAATTTTTGATACTTTGTTAATCCATGACTAATACCATTCACGTAATGATGGTTGCATTTTGCGCCGCTATTTGCCTCGATAATATGCTCTTGGCATTCAGCCCAAACGCAGGTTTCGATCTTGTCTAACTGAAACCTAACGGTTGCTAGGACATTCATCTTGTCAGTAGCTTCGCAGCCGACACAGACGAAAGGTGCCGAGATGGAGCAAAACTTGATAGAGTAAGGTTGTTAAAGAAGTTGGTTGACCTCGTTGTCGCAACTTGGTCTTGTTGTCATGGCGACTATGTAGAACGCACAGTGTCCGAAGTGGTCTAGCCAT